ACATGCTTTGCAAGTGGGAAAACCTGAAAAATCAACAGTGTATCAAATACTTGTTCTCCCCACTGTAGCTAATAACTCAGTGACTGTATCTAACCTTAGAAAATAGTATGGTAACACAAAATTTTATTTCAAAGAGTTTATTTTTGGAGATTGTTTTGGTTAGATAACAACTCACCAGATGTTAGAAAAAGCATTTGTAAGCAATGGAATTTCTGCTTCATATATTTTATCGGGCAATAAATAAAACATACAGCATTTTATCACAACAGCAGCATATGCTCCACTTTTAACTTGTGTGAAATTATTTCTTAAAAGGTAAACATGTGTATATGTCTGCAGGGTGCTCAAGAACGCATTGATGGCTTGCGTCGAGCTGGTGTGATTCATGAGAAGCAGCCTGTAGTCGCTTTGGAAAACTTCATAGCTGAACTTTTTCCAGAGAAGTATGGAGAAAACTTCCAAAACACACGCAAGCACTCAGCTACCCTCACACACGCATTTGTATTTTTACCCATATTAGGGCTTTGTATTGACTTCCATACATTGTAGCAACTGCATTTATGTCTAACCCAGAATTTTTTCCTAACCCTATACAAGGTCTTCCATTGTACAGTGTGTGGTCTCCTTGACCAAACACTGTACTTTATGAGGACGGATGGGTCCTCATAAAGACCCATCAGTCTTTAGTCTTTACTATCCCATCAATGTTAGTAGATATGCCAGAAATAGTACTAAATAGGTTACACACACACAGGAAACTAACTCACCCATACAACAAAACTGGAAAGTTTTTTTTTTTTTTCTGAACCACAAAATTGCTGAGATAGACCATGCAAATTTATCTCAGCTTGTATATTTGAGAAAATGCTGCCTGGTGTACTTTACTTAAATGTGCAGTACAGAGTAGGAATGAATGGTAGAAACAATAGAAATTTGGCCTACGATAGAGATCTGCAGGCTACCAGCCAACCACGGTAATGCTTTTTTGATGACATAATCAGCTGGTATCGAAATAGAGAAGCAGGGAAGCAGTGTGGCTGGGAATAAGGGAAGAATTTGTTAAAAAGACTGGTGCAAAAACATAAATTATCTGCATCGGGTTTAACCTCCAGTGGGAAAGCAAGGTGTAAAAGCGCATGTGGGATTTTAAACCTCCCACATGCGTGCTAAAACCCTCCAGTAGTTTTAGCACGATGCTCAGGAAGAGCACCTCAAATGTCACGGTCTTCCCAAAAGAACAAAAAGAAAACCTTGTAAAAGCGCTCAGTGTGACCCCGCTGTCTGTGCACAGAGTAAAAAGACTTGTAGGGTCCAAATGAGCCCGTCTCATAAGACAGAAGGAGGGTTAAACAGCCAGACCAGCAGCAGAAAAATGTAAACTGCAAAGCGTGTGGAAGATAGGAAATACAAGCAATTTGTTTTACCATGTTTAAAACGACTGCATATAGTTAGCTGAATACCAGCAATGCAACTAACTACAAGTCCCAGTCACAACAGTGGGAAGAAAAGGTAGTATTTGATGCCACATAGTCATCATTATATATATATCATATCATATATATATATATAGATATAGATATAGATATAGATATATAGATATTATAAGCTCAACTTAAAAGAAGTATTACATACAAATAACATGCACAAAAATGAGTTAAAGATGTGTTAACACGTACGTTTCACTCAATTAGTATGCAATTTTTTTCATTCTGTTGTAAGTTTAAATACAAGTTATATCATGATATGCATTATCACCACCCATCACAATATATATTGCGATTTGAATGTTATGCCATGTCGCACATCCCAGTGATTTTTGTGATAAACTGTTACCCTCCAGAATCAAAAGATGTAAGAGTTGCAATGTGTATATTGGTATATTGTTTTTTACATTTAGGTGGTTTGATATTGGCTGTTTAATCTTGGAAGACCCTGGTCATGGCATCTGCTTGGAGGTCTTCACACAGGCAACTCCTCTGACACTGGATCACATCCAGCAGGTACAAACGCAAACTATATTGTGCACATTCAGAGTCCAAGGTTAATAGGAAAATAGAGAAAAATCCATTCACTAAATATTATGGACCTCTTATAGACAGGAATCCGTGCATTAAACGATCTTTGTGGGAACAAAACAACCCTCCTTATAAACAACGAAGAGGCTGCATGCACCCTAACCCTAACCCTGCAGCCCACCCTGGAATGTTTTGGAAGCTAAACCGAAACAAATTGTGGATCTGACAGAAGGACCAACGGCGATAACCCCCCACTCTACGAATCAGCATGTCCAGCTTTGAGCCGAAACCTACATCCGACTTCAACACCTGCTGCACCGAAGGAAAACAAATTAGGAGAAACTATTCCCCCGGCCCTGTTTTGCAGGACAAAATGACCAGCCCGAGCAATAACACATTCCGATTCTGTGAGAATCCCACTGTAAAAGAAATTTGCTGCACTTCAACATTTTCCCCATTTTACCATGAGGGAAACCTCACCTTCAGACATCAGCCACAAGTACGAAGCACATTCACCCCACAAAGCAAACACCAAGAAAATCACAAATATGCCAATAGTACTTATTGTCGGAGATGAGACAGAATATGGAATCAGCCATTTCTGATTCCAAGAGAACCAGTCATGTCCTTTCCCAAATGCACTGTGCACTATAACAGACAAAATACTCTCTCTAACCACAGATCAGCAGAATATTGAAAGTTGTGCTGAGTTTGCTAATGAGAATCGGAGATTCTGAAAAAAAGATTTTACAATTTTTCTGAACACTACTAGAAAACTAAAACAGAATATTTTTCTTAGTGGCCCTGTCCCAGCAATTAAATAAAATTAATTAAATTTAAATAGGGTGGAGTGACTTGAAATACTCTCGACTGCTTTCTATAAACAAATGGCTGATAAAAGCATGTGCTGCCAGCACAGTGACCTTCATCGATAACCACAGGATCTTCTCTGAACGTTTCCACCTTTTCGAACAGACGCCATCTTAATAAACATGGAATAAAGCTATTCTCTGCAAACTTATTTCATTTCATCAACAGGAGCAACAATGTGGCCACAGAACAACTCGCTGAAGGACGCCTGATTAGGATGGGACCGACCGCATATCAGGAACAAGCTATTCCTAAACAAACCGAAAAAACATCAACTGGAGAACTTGCAACTACTCTCCCTCTCCTCACTGCTCTGGTCTCCGCTCTGCTGGGAGTCCCAGCCGCCCATTATCACTTCCATGTTAAAGGCTATCAAAGGCCAAACTAAATGGGGGAGGGAACACAGAACAAAGCAAGGCCCCACTTGTAGTCTCCTTGTAACTCATCTAGGTAAATTCACTATTACCTAGATGTCACATTCAACATTTTGTTGAATGTGACATTCAACAAAAATCATTTCATAATATTATTTCCACACACAACATGAACATTTTTAACAAATGTAGAAAAAATATGTTTTATGAAAATTTTACATACTTCATCTTTAAGGAGAAAAGATTATCTAACAAATGAATGGTAGTGTATGGGTCCATCAAAGTTTGCAAATTATAATTTGCAAACTTTGATGGACCCATACGTTCTGTGATTTGTAGGCACAATAAAAATGAATGTGGTGGTAAAAGTCAACAACTCTCCATCACAAAGGCATTGAATCTTGGCAAGAGAAATACAAACATTTACACCACAGCTCATTTAATGAAAATATCATTTTTAAAAACAATCGACATACATTCCATACATACATTCAAAAGCTTACTTCAATAGCTTTCAGGATCATCATTGAGATATAAAGCCAGTCCATGGCGGCTGTAAGATCTTATGTTGTGATATAGTCGTTCTGCAAAACAAAGAAAGAAAATGCTGCATTAACAAGTCATTAACATTTAGAACATGGAAAAATACCAGTAATTTTAAAGTTACTGGTATTAGTTACAGTAAGTAAAGTAATTGTACACAAATCTGGTCAATGCCATAATGTTTTGAATTTTGTGTCCTACTTCTCTCTTTGCAAATTCTGGTGGAAAATAAGTATTTGGTCAATAACAAAAGTTCATCTCAGTACTTTGTTATATATCCTTTGCTCGAAATGACCGAGGTCAAACGTTCTCTATAAATCTTCACAAGGTTGGCACACACTGTTACTGGTATTTTAGCCCCTTCCTTTATGCAGATCTCCTCTGTGATGTTTTAGGGCTGTCTTTGGGCAACACAGACTTTCAACTCCCTCCAAAGGTTTTCTATGGGGTTGAGATCTGGAGACTGACTAGGGCACCTTTAAATGCTTCTTATAGAGAAGCATTTCTTTGTAAGAAAAGAAGGAAAAGAAGACCTGAAGGCGGTGTGCCTTCATTGACCTGTGCTCAGGATCTTCATCATGCTGAAAGACCCAGCCACGTTTCATCTTCAATGCCCTTGCTGATGGAAGGAAGTTTTCACTCAAAATCTCACAATACATGGCCCCATTCATTCTTTCATATACACAGATCAGTCGTCCTGGTCTCTTTGCAGAGAAACTGGCCCAAACCATGATGTCTCCACCCCAATGTTTCACAGTAGGTATGGTGTTCTTTGGATGCAACTCGGTATTCATTCTCCTCCAAACACGATGTGTTGTGTTTCTACCAAACAGTTCTCCTTTGGTTTCATATGACATTCTCCCAGTACTCTTTTGGAACACCAAGATGCTCTGTAACAAACTTCAGTTGTGCCCAGATATGTACAGGGAAACTCGACTGGCACTGCAGGATGCGAGTCCGTGACGGCGTAGTGTAGCCTTTTATTTGTTATGTTAGTCCCAACCTTCTGCAGGTCATTCACTAGGTCTCCCTGTGTGGTTTTGGGATTTTTGCTCATCGTTCTTATGATCATTTTTGATTTTCCTGATCAAGGGAAATTATGAGTGGTCTTGTATGTCTTACCTTTTCTAATTGTTGTTCCCACAGTTGATTTGTTCACACCAAGCTGCTTACCTATTGCAGATTCAGTCTTCCCAGAATTGTGTCTTCACCACAGTGGAGTTTGAAGTGTGACTGAGGTTGTGGACAGGTGTCTTTTATACTGATAAGTTCAAACAGGTGTCATTAATACAGGTAATGGAGGACGGAGGAGCCTCTTAAGTTACAAATCTGGGAGAGCCAGAAATATTGCTTGTTATTGACCATAATGGACAAAGATTTGGTCAGTACCAAATCTTTGTCCGAGGCTAAAATATGATGTATGTTTGAATGTAAACTTGTAAAGTACTTCACGGAAAGTCACTTGGATCTCATTGGTTTGTGACCCTCTACAGGCTCATTCCCTTACACCACCTGACTACAGCCTGCGTTGGTCCGGCCTGGTTGTTACAGTGGGAGAGATCTTGGAGCGCAGTCTGCCAAACATCAGCAGAACAGATTGGCACAAGTCTGTAACAGGATTAAGCCATCATCATATAATCCAGTGTGCAGCCAAAGTTCTTGCTGGACTTTACAAACAGCAGCTGCTTCCCTGGACTGAGTGAGGCTGACTGGTAACAGATTCCATAGGGACACAGAAACGGCCATGAAAGCTACCGTTCTACTTTTGGATTAGATGTATCCATTTGTGCCCACTGAGATTTTCTAAGTGTGTTTTTCAATGCAGCGAGATAAAGTCTTGTTTTTCTGCATTGCGTTATGAAAAGGTTCCCCCTATATTCTGACATTGTATTAATTTCTTTTACTCATTAATGCATGTCATTGGCCGACTTTCCTGTGGTAGCACAGAAAGTATTGCATGCTGGGTCTGTCTTGTATTTTCAAGGCATAGCCCCAGTATCCTTACAAAACAATAATTTTCAAATGTAAATACAAAGCTGAATTTCTCCTACAGTTGTTGTTGAATGGAAAATAAATCTTCTTTTTTATTTTCTGCAGGCTGCAGAATTTCTTTTTTTTGTTTTTGTTTTTCTGAAATGTAGATTTAACAGATGGGGTAAATGCACATCTTATCAAATTATTCTCTAAGCATTGCAACATTGCTCATGTACACATTGAAATTCATACATTGTAAAATATGCTGTGACGTGGTAAGAGCACAAAAATACATGCAAGAAGTTAAAATTTGAAAGTTGATTCTGAGGTTCTAAGTGTAGTACAAGACTGGGAATTATCTACTCTGTCAAACTTTGATGCAACAATTTCTTTTTTTTTCTTTTTTTTTTTTTTTTTTCAGGCCCTTCGAAATTCTTGGTGCCAAAGACATCACTTGCATTCCTTAATTTTTCCCTTTCTCTTTCCAGCAGAAATGTTTATTTAAAAAGATAATCTAAAAGCCTTACAACTGTTTTTAAATCCTTCTTTATGTCCAGATTTGAACTGTTGTTGAAAACAAAGTATATTTTAAAAATTTGACTCATGTATGCATTGTATTAATGCATTTTCCTCTCCAGCAATCCTCAAACTCAATGGTTTGTGTAAATAATTGACCATTTGGACAAGGTATGTTGTTTTGTTTGGTTCTTTAGAAGAACCATTTGCTCATTTTGGCCTGAAGTGAACCAAATCCATTTTTTTGTGAAATCAGATTTGTTATCTTAGAGATAGAAATGATTGTGAAAATAACAGTTAACTTGTAGATCTTGCTAACAGTACTAACAGTTACTTAAAGAGTAGCTTTTGAATTTTCCCTCTGCAAACACCTGAAGGGGAATTGATCAGAAGCAGAGGGGAAGAACACAAAGACAAAATATCAGAGTAGAAATCAAGATGAGAGGAAGATCTGATGGCAACTTTTGCAAGATAAGAATACGGAAATTGAAGAAATAAACCTCCTCTGCCTCAGCTTTTTTTTTCCCTTTTTCCCCCTTTCATAAGGAACTTAATTATTTTGAGTCTGAATGTTTCACTGTTTAATTTGCACAATAAAACGGGCTCGGAACTGGTTGGCGATCTGGTGCCTCCTCTGAGACAGGAAAGTCTTAGATTTAAGTCCTCTTTCATCTCCATTTGCTTAGACTGCAAAAATATGTTGAAGATAAAAACAATGATAACAACAGCCTCACAAAGTCTCTTTGGCATACTGAGCTCAATTAAAACCAGGTTAAGTTTATGAAGAAAAATACATTAAGTCTCAACAGAGCCTCCATGTAGTTATAACATGAAGCTGAATGATCGTTATAGTAATAATCATAAAAGTCACCATAAAATTGATCACAATTATTTCTGAAACCAACGTAAATTTGTTTACATCTTTACTGCACTGTTTATAATTAAACGAAGATAATTAAGCAAACTTACTACTAGCTAGCAACACGTTAGCAGCCTTCGTCCCTTCCGGCTCCTTTTGTGATCTACATTTTATTTCCATCGGTTGTTGTCCTGTTGTGTTGTCGTTAGGGTTGCCACCTTTCAGAAATCAAAATAAGGGATGCACACCACAGCGCGTGTCGCCTGACTTTCACGGGGTGGGATGGCCGCTGCAATATTTTATGGCAGTGTTTTTTGTCCTTAAAAATTGATCCATAGAGCAATCGTTCATGCATAAAGGTTGGTTAGAGTACCCCAAATTTGTACTCGAATCAGAGTAGTATACTTTAAATACGTTTAATTAAGCAAGTGTAAAAAGTGTTTGGTAAACCACTGAGTAACTGATCATAACACCTGATTTAATAATCAAAATGTGTCCTCAGACTACTAAAAGTATAAAAGTTATGTGAACATTCTGATATTTTACAGAGTATTACCAAAATATTTATATAAATAATGAGTTAGATTTGGAGGCTGGTTCTAGATCAGATTTACCACAGGGGCCAGGGTAGTCAGTGGTTTTCCATGGCAACTCTTGAAAAAGAATGAAACAAAAAAAAAAAACAGAGCAATATTTCATCATTATATCAAATGATGAAATATTGCTCTGTTGTTGTTTTTTTTTACCCAAGAGCCAAGGGTCAAGTAAGCCAAAGAGCCACTTGTGTCTCCAGAGATTCAGTTTGCAGATCCCTGGCCACACTGGAAAGTGTGATCCCTTCTCCTTACAGCAGCTAAAAGTGTAGCACTAGAATATTTCATTGTTAAAGTAAAATTGTGAAGGTTAAAAAAAAATCCACCACTGACATAAGACATTTATTTAGTATAACTTCTTTGGTTCGTCGTTGGCCCCCATCTAGAACCGCCCCTGGGCTGCAAGTCTGTGTCTAACCACTGAACAATGAATTCATGAAATATATCAACATTTCAATATAAAACATACAGAAAGCCCTAACAAGCCTTTTAAAGTAGGAAGTATTTATGTATATACTGTTAATCTAATGTATCATTTGTTCTTTAAATGATCATCTGTATTATTTTTGGCTGATATTATTATACATTAAATAAGCAAATAATCAAACCAATATAGTCGACTAAAAGCAAAATAAGAAACTTAATCATATTTTTGTACAATTATATTTAAGTGTGCTTAAAGCTATTTCGAAATTGGTACAAGCATACTTTTAGTATACTTCATATATATTTATAGGTAGTACACTTAATACATAGTATACTTAAGATATACTTACATTTGTGAAAGTATAAATTTTTTTTTACTAGGGTTGTCCTGTTGTGTTGTCGTCTAACTCGAACTATAACGTCACCAGCTTGAATTTACCAGAACTACTAACTATTATCAAGGTTTTCTCTACTTTCAAGGCGATGTTACGCAAGTAAAAATGGCGAATTTGAACAGCATCTTTTCTCTGGCTTCTTGGCTTTTCTTCTTTTAAAAAAAAAAAACAGTGCATTACCACCACCATCTGATCTGGAGTGTGAACTGGTGCTAATGCCATTAACTTTCATCATAAGTTATCCAATCCAAAATGGATTGGATAAAGACAGCTTCAGTGTTTTAGATAAGACGGAAAACAACAGATCATATTCGGAGGGATGTAAAACTGAAGATACCTGCTACATTTAGTGTTAAGGACAAGTGTTGTAGAACCTCTGTCACTAAACTGGTAAATGTTTGATATTTTGAGGCAAAAAACACATTAAACATCAAGTTCCATTAAAAGGATTGTTATTTTTTTATTATCTTTGCCATTTTAACAAAAATAGTAAAAGATTATTAAGGCACCTAAAAAGGCATACTTTATTAGCCTAAGGTATAGACTCAAATGTAATTTGAAACATACTGAAATTTTAGTTTAATAGTTTACTTTTAAAGTAAGCGTTAAGCAAAGTTTAAAAAATTCTATCTTAAGCATATATTTTAAAATATACACAAATTATCTGTAAATGCATATTGTTTACATTACTTGAGCAAATATATATTTTGTTCATTTAAAGTATACTTGTATTTAATATATTTCTCAAAAGTGTATTTTGGTACAATTATATTTAAGTGTGTGTGTTAAAGTTGTAATGTCAGAATTGGTACAAGCATGCTTGTAGTATACTTTGTATATATTTATAGGTAGTACATTTAATACTTGGTATACTTAAAAAGTATTGTCACAAATGTAAGTATATTTGAAACTTACTAGAGTAAATTTTTCACTAGATACTCATTACTATAGGTACTCATAACACTATACTTTTTAGATCACTTTTTGGATTATTATGCAAAGAGACTCCTATTATTGCAATCCAGAAAAGGAATTAGAACAAACTTAGAATCCAGAAAAAAAATCTTCCAGGACAGGGTTATTCTTATTCACTACTTTTCACTCACTACTTTTACATATTTAGAACATACTTAGAAAGTCCAGAAGATACTTATATGTATACTTATATGTATCTAGCAACCCAGAACAGGGTTTAGAATAAACTTAAAATCCAGCAACTCTGAACAAGAATGGAGTCCAGATCAGCAGAATCTAGTTTATAAAATTTCTATCAATATTATTCTTTTTCTTCTTTTGCTCTTTCCTTTGGTTTGTTATTTTGTTTCCTTTTTAGTGAAGTACTTTTAATTAATTACCTTGTTGCTGAAAATGTCCTATGTAAAAATTATTTACCCTACCTTAACTTATTCTTCTATGTGCCAGGGAGGTAAATAGTTAGTTCAGGTATTCATGCTCTCTCAAGAGGAAGGCAAGGGCACCTCACCAACAACTATAAACGGAAGCGGAGTCGTTTTTTCAGGAACGATGGTGAAGTGCGCAGCCATTCACTTTTCATTTTCACTTCAAGATGATAATTGCAGTACTGTGGTTCACATATTGTCTAAATTTAAATCATAAATATAAATCACGGTGGACGGGCATGGCCAAACATGCCAAGGTCATGTTTTGGCCCCCAACCTTTTTGATTTTGATTTTGTGAGTGATTTTGTTCAGTGATCCATGGTGGATCACTGAACAAAATCACTCACAAAGTCGTTTGAGCAATAAGTGCTTTAAAATTCACAAAGTCGTTTGAGCAATAAGTGCTTTAAAATTCCATCTCATAAATCAAGTCTCAATATTTGGAAGTGTGGTCTTCCAAATATTGAGGCTTGGATATTGAGATGGAATTTTATTCCATCTCATAAATCAAGTCTCAATATTTGGAAGTGTGGTCTTCCAAATATTGAGGCTTGGATATTGAGATGGAATTTTATTCCATCTCATAAATCAATAGTTGAACCCATTTCAGGTTCAACTATTCAGGATGATGCTGTAAAATCTTGAGATACTGACTTTTTTAAAATAAAGGTGGCTAAACATTTTCCAACTTTGGCATTTTCAAACATTAATGTGTTT